GAAACTTGACGTACAATATTTTTCTTTTGCGCATTCAATCCTTAGGTGGAGATAACTATTATTGATACTTTTGGGCTGTGGAAATATACTTTTTGCAGAATGAATCTAGTTTCGACAAATTAAGAGATTCTGATTGGAGTATGTTTGATCTAGAAATAACTATTACTGTCTGCACAAACCAATTAGGCAATGATTATTGATTGGGTTGATATGAATGTTGCAGACAACTTTAAAGCGACACGCGGACAGGAAGATATAGAAGTTTGACAAGAACATAAAACAAGGAGAGTGTTTGTTCCTAAGACAAGCACAAAAAAGGGGAAGGATTACCCATCCTGCTCGGCTTCATTGGATCATGTGATTTTTCATTTCCCAAACTTTGTTTTTTATCAAACTATTTGTTGAAGCCACCAAACTGTAGCTTCTTTTAACAATTGGCCTAAGCTTCCACCACCAAATAACGAACCATGGTGTGGAATGTCAACCATTTGCTTATACTTTGTATATAATTATGAACCTTTCTATTTGCTTTTCTACAGCTCTCTTCCAGATCATCGGCAACTAACGAAGGCATAGCGTAGAAGGAATCACATTCAAGCACTTATAAAATTATTATCCTTTTTTTCCTCTGGCTTGTCTCGCTTTCTGTAGAATGTCTCACTTTCAAAAATATATATCCAATGTTAAAAATTGTCTTCCAGGTTAGATCCTCTTGTTTTTACGCATTTGTTTCAAACATAAAAGAATAAAATCAGATGTTTAAGAAGCTCCGGGCAGTTTCCACACACCAAAGTTATTTATTACAACATGAACGTTTTTGTATATTACTTATTACATTGTATATTACAGTCACGAAAATCAAAGTACAAAAACAAAACAAGTAGCGTGTGAACCGTTCGATTCCAAGAGGATACAAACCTCAAAGATGGTCAAGCCCTAGCTGTAGGGGAGGGATGAAACGCTGTTCCGCAAGCGATCCAAAGTCTTTTCCTCCCACGGGGAATGGTGCAGCCAGGGACCTTGGTCCATTCCCTCATAACAACATTGTAGGTTACCAGACAGTTCATCTGTCTGGACCTCAAGGACAACAATATCAGACAACCTTTGTTGCCCAGACAATTCATCCTAATGTGCTCTCCGTAAAACTCCAAGCACCATATGTTTGGCATTCTGTCAACCTCCATCCACAACAGTGTCATCTTCTGCAGCTCCCATACGCAAACGCAAGTGGCAGCGTTTTTTGTCAGCAGACCCACTAGCATCAACCGCTCTCCACACTCGGCAAGCGTGCGATCGCTCAGGTGTGGTGGGCCCGGTATGATCGACTGCTTCCATTTCCCAGAGACCATGTCGTGGACAATATCCCTTCGGGATCTGTTAACATGAAGTAAAGTGTGCTGTGGATAGCCACTGGCTGTGACTTAAAGTTGAGCAACACCGGGAGCTTTATGTTGGATGGGATGGTGCCTCGTTTAGTCCACATATTTCTCAGGGAATCATAGACTTCGTACTCTCCTTCACATCCAACCCACAGGACCTTGTACCCATGACTTGTGGAGTTCCCATTCAAAGTCATTCCTACTGCAACACGAGACCATACCTTAAACGACGTAGCGGGCAACTCTCTGAAAGACTTGGTCAGCGGATTACTCACATAGAAGTTCCGATGACCAATGTCGAGGAAGCAAACTAGACCTCCCGCAGAAGCCATTGGCAAAACAATAGTCTTCTTGGGTAATGCAGGGATAACCGGATGGTGCCATTTCTTCAAAGAAGGGTCGTACACTTGTCCCGAGTTGACATTCTCATGGGTTATGGTGTAGAACCATGGGATGGTCTGAGGAAGCTCGGTGCAGCATCGGGAGAAGCTATCTGAATCAATAAAAGCATTCCATTTAAGGCAAACTGTGCGGAACTGGAAAAATGTAGCAATTGGTAGTCTGGAAACAACAGCTTCAAAGAGATCCTGGGGAAATTCCTTCCAGATTTCTTGATCCATGTTTCCAGTTGTGTCATCTCATTCCGTAAAGGATTTCCCTGGATTCCGTTCTTTTCAAGATCGCTTGACAGGAGGTTTGGCAGTTTCTAATATTTTGAAGATCCCAGACCTCTTACCAGCAGCCATTACACTATCACAACAATCATCAGCAGAAGTTTCTTCAATAAAGGGCAAACACCATCTGCAACAAACGGAAAAAAAAATGGTAATATCTATCTGTCAGGAAAAGGACACATTAACCTCTCTCTATTTTTTTCCTTTTCAAGAGGAAATCATTAGATTGGAAGCAAAGAACTGCCCTGCAAATCAACCACAAGAACGTATTTACTTATTAATAGATGAGATGCTTCCAGAAAATGCAATCAATTGAGGATAGAAAATCCATAGTATTGATGAGCAAATGTGACCCACCAAAAGAAAACCAAAGAAAGGAGGGAATGATGGAGCCAGAACAAGATTCGATGAAATTGGCAAAATGATGGCTGAATTCATACATCAATTTCCTCGTTATAAAAGTTTATCCAATTTCAGATTACATAAAAACCATCCCAAAAAATTGGGACATTTAGAAAATTTAAGTTAATCTGGAAAAAGGATAGTGAGCAAATGGAACTTACTGGCTAAGCTTTTGATCATTAATCTTCCCAAGTTTGGCTACAATGCCAACAACAGCTTTTGTCATATTCAACCGAGAAGCCTGCGCGCCATGACGAGATTCAACCAGACCTAAAACTCGAGCAGCTGATGTTTCATGGAGATTGGTATCACGGTTTTCGCTTATAGGAGTGGCGGACGAATGAAGTTTGCTCATAAGAACTGCAAAAGAAAGGAACAATATATACATTGAGATTAAATCGACATCCAATTTGTTTTTCTGAGACTTGAGATTGTCCTTGTGCTGTTTGAATTTGTTACCGATGGCTTCAAGATCAGATTCAAGCCATTGAACTCAGCCTGAGAAATCCCTCCTCTATCTCTTGAAACTGGTGAAGGTGTCATTGTTGATGGATCTTGAACAGCCAAATCAAACGATATCTACAATAGACACATATATCACTCCCTAATAAAACCTAATTCGTAAGAAATCTGAAACATAAACACGATTCAAGAATAATCTGAAACATAGACACATATCATTTCTCAAGATTTCAGAGAGATCCGATCGCGAGAAGAGAGGTTACAGTCTAAAAATACTTCACTCAGACTAATCTGATTTTCGATTACAATTTTATGGGAAACCCAAAACTGAAATTATTCAACTAACCTGTTCACCGGTCGGAAACATTGCAACCCACCGGAGGAGATCTCTCTCTGGTTCGGCTTCTTCGTCTTGAAAAGAAAAAAAGCCACAAATGTTTCTTTCCTCTCTTTTTGGTTGAAACACGTCAGCAAGTATTTTTCATTTTATTATTCGATTATATATTTATACTACGCATTTCATTTCATTTCATGTTGTGAAATTGGTCCAGGAAAGTCGTAAAGGCTTTTAAAGCCTAAAGCAAATTTGAAAGGCCCAATAAGCTTCACAGAAGTATCTTTCTTTCTTCCAAACAAAGACTGAATTTAAAAAGGATAAATTCCCTATCATATCACTATTTTTTAAATATTTCACAAATACCGTTATGTTTCACAGATACCACAAATACAAAAATTGATTTTCATACATTTATAATTTAAATTTTTGGATTTGAGTTAACTATTATAGTATTTGTGAAATATTTGAAAAATGATGCGGAACAAAACTTGATTTAGTGTTATTTGTGAAAATTACCAAAAAATTTT